AGCTGCTGCTGCTGTCTGTTGGAACTGATACCTGTTGCAGGGCTCCTGCTTCCTCAGAAGGAATGTTAGCACTCTTTCAGGAGACTACTTTCATGAGCTAGGGTGACATGTCTGCTGCTAACCAACACATTTTACCCTGCAAGTCTAGGTTTTTTTTTTCCAGCCCAGCTTACTCCTTCTCAGTGGGAAGTTATTCAGGCTTCCCTGGTATTTAGTTGTTGTAGTGGTGATGGGGGTAGTGGTTTGTTCGGTTTTTTGGGGGGGGGGCGTGTCTTAATCAGTTGTCAACATGGACCTACCAGCCAGTTCCATGATAGTACTAAGGACCTCCAAAAATGTCCATAATCTTCAAGGAGGTACTTAGTAACTCTGGAAAAAGTGTTACAGAGCTCATTACTGTAGCTTTTTATTCCTACCTCTATCTAAGATTCTGGACCTCCTTCACACAAAGATAGGCTGGACATGGAACCTGTTCTTATGAAATTTAGATGGTTTCTTCTCTCTGCCTCTTTTTCAAGAGATGGGGAAAGGGGAATACCAAGAGACAGACAAACAATTTTGTTGCAAAGTACAATGTTACAGGTGCAAGGGAGAGGTTTTAGGCAATTTTTCAATTCTATAACCTAAGGCAGAGGCAAATTGGTATATTCACATATTTGTTGTGGTGCATAGTGGTGTGTTGGAAAGAGCCCTGGTCTTAAGATTCAGAAGACCTGCACTGAAATCCCAGATCCTACCTTTACTGTTACCCTGCTCAAATTACTTCATTTTTCGGGGCTGTAGTTCATCTGTAATATGGGATTGTACTACTTCCATGCCTGCTTCCATAGGGTTGGTGTCAGGAAAATATTATAAAACCTGTGGAGGGCTATAGAAATGGAAGCTGTGGAAAAAGAAGGACAACATTTGACTGAAGAAAACAAATCCTTAAAAAATACTATTGGCCAAATGGAAAAAAAATCTACTAAAGAAAACAACTCTTTAAAAAGTAGAATTGGCCAAATAGAAAAGGAGGTACAAAAGCTAACTGAAGAAAACAATTCTTTAAAAATTAAAATCGGGCAAGTGGAAGCTGATGACTCTATGAGACATCAAGAATCAGTCAAACAAAATCAAAAGAATGAAAAAATAGAAGAAAATGTAAAATACCTCATTGGA